GTGGGAGCTAAAAATAAATAAATAAATTCACACACACGCACACACACAAAAAAACCGGGGGGGGGGGGGGAGAAGACATAACAACTACAGTTCCTTGAAGTTGATATGACAAGCAAACAGAAAGGACATTGTTGGGTGGAAGGGGGGAGAGGGAGGAGGGAGGGAGGTTTCGGTAATGGGCCACAATAATCAACCACATTGTATATCGACAAAATAAAATAAAATAAAATAAAATGGAAAATTGAATCTTGCAGAATATTTTTTAATGTCAAAAGCCATATATTCAAACCATTAACTACATCATAATTAATGGTGACATATTAGAGGCATTCTTTTAAATGACTGAATACCTGTTGTTACTACTATTCTCTTTTTCATTGTGCAGAAAGTGCTAACCTGTGCAATAAGACAACAAATACAAATGGGGTATAACTGGCTAACAGGAAAAGACAAAATTTCCAGTATTTATAGGTAATATATTTATCTATTGATGAAACCCAAGAAAATCAACTAAAAGTACTGTGGCCAAATTAGCACACTCAGTAAAGTAGCCACCTACAAAAGAAATATTCAGAACTCAGCAGCTTTCCTATGTACTTGTCAAAGCCACTTAACCAAAATTAACTCATTTATAGTAGCAACAGCACTTTATTCTAATATTCTATGGTGTTCAACATTTCTAAGCAAGGAGATAGTGACATTTTATTTGGTTAATCAGAAGAAGGAATTTCTTTATTTTCTGAGATACTACACCAATGCTTTGGGAAAAAGAATGGGGTATTTCTTCAATTTGATTTTATATGCACTATCAGTAGCAGGAACTTTCTTGGGGTTTATGATATATTTTAGAAATACACATTGCATAGACCAAAATAGAAAAAATATTTACATGAGACAGGAACCTAGTAGGAAGTAAAAGAATAGTTATATGTTAACTTAATATAAGTTTCAAATGGTTGGTTCTCAGTATCTGTTCCATGGACCAACCATTTCAGAGTTACCGGAGGCATGTGTTAAGAATGCAAAATCTAGTGCCCCACTCCAGACATATTGACTCACAATTAAATTTTAATTATTTCTGTTTCTAACACTTGTAATAATCATGCCAGTTGATACGCATGCTGACTTTTTATAAGTACTGCTTTAGACTCGACTGAAAGTTATGGTCACTTTGCTTAATCTTATTGATGACATGAACCAGCATAATAGGAAAAATTATATATTATTTCTCTATAGAATTTGTGTTTTTTTCATTTGAAATAGCAACAAAGAAAATTATTTTTTGTGTATTATAAATAAAATTTAAAAATAAATGTTAAGATAGGAAATATTCACAACATTGTGGCAGGTAAAGGCGTATAATGTTCCTAATGTTTAAAGAATACTTTCAGGTCAATAAGAGAACATCAAATGTCCAGTATGCAGATTGCCTAAGGACACATAGACATAGAGAATTTTCAAATGAAGAAATAAAAGTGATCAACAAACTTATGAAAAGATGTCAACAATATTAGAAAATAGATACAAATGAATGCTACTTTGATAATATTTTATGGCTACCTGCCACGTACACACGTGTACAGACACACACACACACACACACACGGAATATGCATTGCATCAAGGTGCTAATGGTGGGTAGTTTTGAATAGATAGAGATTATTGGTATTCTTTGTTTTTAATCTTATTTTCCAGTGTTCTCAAACATTTCTGATAGGCAAATATTGCTTTTTTAATGACAAAAAATAACTCAAAAATATTAAGAAAATATATTTAATTCTTAGAAACTTCAGATTGGAAAGGTAGAAGTGTGAGAGACTAATAACAAGGTGAGAGTTGATAATGAATACTATAGCTTCAAATAAATGAATGATTCAATATAAATTCCAAAGGGCCTGGAATTGAGGTAGTGTTAACAAGTAAGATAATTAGTGTGATTACCAATATATATCCTTCTTATCTCCTTTTTTGAGCTCTCATATTTCCAAATACTTTGTTCTTTACTTTTTTTCTCATAATCTTTTTCCTTCTCTCATGCTTCTAAGTCTTAAGTCTTCAGTGACTGACACCACATGGTGTTTAGTGTAACCCCAAGCCTTAAAGAAGTTCTAATCTTTTTTAAATGCTTCCTTCATACCAACTCTTTAATTTATTCTCCAACAAAGATCTATTGAGTACTTACTCCTGGCCAGAAGAAGTTTTTAATCCAGTGAATTGTTATCACTTCTTCTGTGCTAGTCTGCTTGGTTTATGGAGCCATTATCAAAATTGAGTGATCTTGTTAAATTGCTTTTTGTAGATATTAGTTTTTTGTCGGCTATATATCCAAGAATGCACTCATTATTCAAGTCTAATTATCTTAATTTTCTTGGTTAAAACTATGAAAATTTAAAAAACAGTAATTTTTGACAGGGACATTCTTATGAGTGGAATAATTTTATAACTTTCTGATTTAATTCAAAATCTCTATCTTATACATAAGTCTTGGTAATTGATTCTACATCATAGTTAGATTTTTTAATGGTATATAATTTAATTATTATCATGGGAAAGAATGGGAGAAAAGAGAAGGGGAAACATGTAACATTTTTTACAACTATGTTCTTTTTCTTATTCACATTTTAAAAGTCCAAATGTGTTCCAGATGTGGAGAAAGTTCTTTTAATTCTGGCAGCCATTAGTAGCACATTGGCACTTCAACCTCAGCTGCTCAGAAGCCTGCCAATGGATCCTTTAGTTTTTTATGCCTTAAGGAACAGCTGGGCTTTGCAACAGTACTTGGTTTCAGATTTTACATTTCATCTGAAATACATTTATGCGATTTAACATGTTAACTTCCAGCTAGCTGTAAAGCCTTAACTCATTGTTGTGCAGTACATTGTGAGTAAGATGTGTTGGCCAAACCAGGACAATTTCACAGTGAAAGAGAGTCTTATTAATAATTACACTAGGACAACAGATGTGAACTGGGCTGTAATTTCTATTGTCTTTAAGTAAACCCAGCTTCAGATGATTCAAGTAGTTTAACCTTCTTAACAAGATTACCACACTGCAAACACATATCATTTATCTATAATGAATCACCTCCAAACTCAGTGGCTTAAAAAAATTACTGTTTTATTAATGTTTATAATTCTGTAGGTTGGCAGTTTGGACTGGGATGTCTAGGAAGGCTGGGATGCCTTTCTCTGTATCAAGTCTCATTCCTCAAAATTGTTCACATTCCATGTGCAAAATATACCCATCCTAGGATTTCAAAAGTTTTGTCACAATGACAGCAGCAGGCCCAAAAGTTCAGGATCCTGTCATCTAAATCAGGTCTAAGATGCAAATGAGGCTTCTTGGGTTTTGCCACTTTGTGTGGCTCTTCTTATGTGTTCCCACATACCAAACATAAAAGAGACAGAATAACTACAATTAACGTTCCCACTCAAAATTAGAGGAATAGGAATCATAGGGCTCTAAATGGTCCATAGTAATTCTGAAGTCCTACTGGACACGTATTGCTGGGCCACCTACTTGTGGGGGTAGGGAAAATTCTTTGAATAAGGGCTCAGCTCTGTTTCCTCAGAGTGGTTCTGTAGTTAATTGTTTGATTAGACTTTTGGTTCTGCCCTCTTGGCTCTTGGCTCTATCTTCAGTCCTTTCTTTTCCATAAGAAATAGTCTGTGTTAGCAACTGAATAACTTTCTTAGCCTGCTTCCTGCCTATGGAAAGTTGGAGATCCAGAGAAATATTTTCATTTTGAATTGTCTCTGTCCCAATTAATCCAAGTTATTATCACACCTTTAAAAAGGTTTAGGTTTTCTGTGTGTAGGGTTAAAGTCTACTCCATTAGTCAGAGGCTCCATTCATTTCAAAACAGACCTTCTTCCTACATTGGTTGGCATGTCAGAGGACTGTGGGACCAGTTTCTTTTTTCTAGCCAAGATGGTCTATTAGACCCCACTTTAAATCATAAATAACTTTTCAAATAATAACTTTTTCAATAAAGTTATTACAACCACTCACTTAATTTGGTCT